AAAAAAAAAAAAATTGGTATGGACACAAAGATTGGTTGAAGATATATATCGTCAAACAGAACTGCCTCTCGGTAAACTGTAGACAGAGAGGGAGAAGAGGACAACAAATGAGGGGCTGTGATGAACTGTTTCGTCGGAGTTTCACCGACTCGTCAGGAGGCTGAACCCGCAACAGTCTGCAGACTCCCCTACCTAACTGATTCCACTGTAAGTGATAATCCACCTTAACCCCGGTTGTGGTTAAGCATCAACAACTGGCTGACAACTGATACCTCTCTGAGGAGGTGGTGGGGACCACCAACCACTGCTGCCCTCAAGGTACCTGTGACGAAAATCAAAGCAGACTATCACTCACCCACACCAGATGGAAAACTCTACAGAATGTTGGCTCACACCCCATCACGAGCCAAAACACCCACGAAACAAACAAAGGTCTGTCACAGCCATAAAAATTAATTTAAAAAAAATGAAGGTTGGATGAAGATGGAATAAAAGACTGGTCATCACAGTGGGACAAGGAAGATAAAAAGTCACAGGGGGACAGACTTGATGAAGATCGAGTAAAAGATGGGACAGAGAATGGACAAACATTGGATAGAAAAGATGGGACAGAGAATGGACAAACATTGGATAGATTAATCTCCTGTTGTGTTGAAAGTGCTCACGCGCCTATGGGGCAAAACTGCCGGAAAAGGCATGAAGCGTAAAATACGCTGAAGAATCAATACTCGGACGATTGATTCTTACTCTTTCTTTATTCACCCATGGCCACAAGTCATCCCCGTATCTTGCCACATATTTAGCCGCAAGATATACTCCGTGAGGTGGTTACATGGACGTAGTGCTTTTGATCCTTCCCTTGTTCAGCCTTGGAACCTAGGCTACCAGAGTGGCCCGGTACCACTCGTCCAGCCGGGCCAAAAAAACTGAAAAAATAAAAAAATAAAAAATTGAGCTTTATTAAAGTTTATTTTTCATTTGCATTTCATTTGCAATTCAGTGAAGAATTTTGATGTGACCCTGAGGCAAAAGTTGTCCAGTTTATTTTTCCGCATTTTTACAGATTTTTTGAGTTTTTTTTTTTTACTGGGACCCTGTTTGGACCTTCCACGACTGGGCTGCCCGGGCAAACAAGGTGACCCGGGCGGCCCGACTGGTAGCCGAGAGCTCGAAACTCCCTGTGCGCCCAAAAGATTACGAACCAGCGCAGGCCTCGTTTTGGCTGGCACTGCCAGCCATTTTCCTCCGGCCTAAAAAAATTGCGACTCGCATACCCCGCCGTGTCGGAGAAAAATGGCTGGCAAATTATGTACCGGCGGTTTAACCTGGTTGTATATTCTTCTTATTGTACTGGGAATCTGGGACATTGGATAGTGTTGTTTAGTGACCTGTCCCCCAATCAATCTCAAATTCTGAATAGATGGGTATTGAACTCCCATACGGTCAGTATCCGCCGATTTGGACCTTACCACTTAGTTTCAATGTGGCAGGCAGGAAGTATAACGAAAAGCGTAAGCGTACGTTCTTGCGCTTCCCCACATGTACACTATAATATAAAAAAACTAGGTGTTGTGTGCATGGACTTGTATTCATCTGATCCCATGGGGTTCTTTGGCTATATGGTATATGCTGCCAAATTCAAGCTTCGCTCACGGGCTAAGGTCTTTGCTATAGCAGGCAAAGACCTAAAGAAACCACACAAGCTTGCTGTATCAATTTACTCGCTGACCCATTATGCAAAGAAACCACTCTTTATCTGTTCTTTTTTGTTAATTTTTAATGGTGACATGTGTGTAGCCGCTTGCATTGGATAGAGATTGGCTAAACTTTTGCCTCCTGTTTGTGCTAATGTATAGTTGTATTTGACAATTTGTGTGATTCCACCGGGACTCGTCTGTCTTATTAACATGATATCTGTAGGCGAATGGCGACATGAACACGAACGGCAACATGATATCTGTACACGAACGGCTTAAATCAGTAACACAGCACCAGTTTGTAGTATGTACTCATTCAACGGCATGGGTTGGGTGAGATTTGATGTGATATTTGATCAACGTGGTGCTGTGTTATTGACTTTTTTTTCGGTTGATTGTCTAGGCTGCAAGTGGGGATGCCCGGGTCACGTTGTTTTCCGTGCGGCCCGGCCATGCACGAACCAGGCATGGTCCGAGCAAAAAAAAAAAAAAAAAGAAAAAAAAAAAAAATATATTGTATGCGACTATGCATACTTTTGCCTCCAGGTCATGTCCAAAATCTTTACTGAATTTTAAGTAAAAAATAGAATTGAAAAATAAATTTATTTTTTAATTATATATTTATTTTTTGGCCGGTGGCAAGTCATCCTGAGCCACTCTGGTAGCCTAGTTGATTATAATTTTTATTATTATTATTATTATTATTATTATTATTATTATTATTATTATTGGATCATTTCTCGATTTATGCATGTCATCCTTGCGCAGGGGCAATGCTAATCTTCTCTGTACTGTCCAATTTTAACGGATGTCCCGAAGGACGGTTGATTATTAAAATTGATTAATTAATTAATCTACTTGTTTTTTTTTCTTCCTGTGGTCTCCTTGTGGGCTTACTGTAACAGTTAACTTCCCGCTTGACAAACGATGTGGGTTCCATGTCGGAGCCGCTTAATTGGATGCTCAGCACGCTGCTTCGTAATCTGCTCAACCTGGCGGGAGGTTTCGTGATGTGTTTCTACACCAGCTGGAAGCTGAGCATGCTTGCATTTACAACCATGGCGCCAATAATGCACATAACTGCAATCTACTCCCGATGGTCGCGAGAGCTCAATCGGAAGCGATATGCGGTGCGAATGTCCTTCCAAGCCCCTCGTCTTAGTAACCTGCTAACCTTAGTTAGTTCTTAATTGTTGGTTCCGCCATTGAAGTGGTTTTGCTATTGAAGTGGTTTCGCAATTGAAGTGGTTTTGCATTTGCTGTTGTGTTGACAATAGTAAGGGTCCTCCATGACTACTCTTGGAGTGAGCGGGTTAAGTAGTGGTGGTGGGTCGTGTGCTGTCCAAGCGTTGTGTGCGTTTTGCAATCAGACTTGACTCTGGACTTGCTCACAACATGCACACTTGAGAACCGATGGAAGAACCGAACTCTTCCAACTCAGGAACAACAATGAACTTGTATTCAAACTCAGTCTGAATCAACTGTACAACTTGCGGCTATGGCCGCTGAACACTGTCTCTGCCACCAGCCTCACTCTTCCTCACTCTCGCATGCACCCACGTACGAGGATCACTGTGAATGTTCACGCTGCACAGCCACACACACTCTACACAGCCTGTCTACACCAACAGCTGGGCGGCTATGGCTGCCGTCATCTTCCTCCTCCGAGTTGCCGGTGTCTCCCTCGCTGGTTCGCTATGGCCGCTGTCTCCTTCGCAGCCCACTTCTTCTCCGGGCACCTACCAGCCTCACTCTTCCTCACTCTCGCATGCACCCACGTACGAGGATCACCGTGAATGTTCACGCTGCACAGCCACACACACTCTACACAGCCTGTCTACACCAACAGCTGGGCGGCTATGGCTGCCGTCGTCTTCCTCCTCCGAGTTATGGCTGCCGGTGTCTCCCTCGCTGGTTCGCTATGGCCTCTGTCTCCTTCGCAGCCCACTTCTTCTCCGGGCACCTGCAGTCCTCCACGCACAAGATACCAAGGCAGCTCTTCCGCATGGCACACAGGCGAATGAATCAATGGCAGGACGCTGCCTCTTTATTTATACTTCTTTGGAGGTACCCGGGCCTGCCTCAAAACGTGTGGGCCTGGGCCAAAACGTGTGGCCCAGGGAAGTTTTCCGACGTTTGACTTTCTGGGCCAAAACGTGTGAAACCCACAGTGTGCTCCAGAACCTTCCCTACGAGCAGCCCCTACCCTTGGTACTTGCTGACTGGACTGGCCTACAGGGACCTACGACCTTCTAGAGCCTACAGACTTACAGACAGACTCTAGGCCTCAGTAGACTCAGATAGAGATTTCTAGAACAGGCCTTCCTAAGCCTAACGGTAACAGACCTACCTCCTAATCTACAGACCTAGGGATCAAGTCCTACTGTCGGACCTACAGACTAGCCTAGGACGTAGGGCAGGTCTAGGGATCGAATCCGACTCAGGTCGCTGGGTCTATGTACAGGTATAGGACAGGTCTAGGGATCGAATCTCACTCAGCACACAGGTTCAATGTACAGGGTTAGGGCACAGGTCTGGGGATCGAATCTCTGTGTCTGCAAATTCGGGTCAACGGAGTGAAACCGTTTCAGTTTGATCGCCATGTCCGTGGTGTGGGGAGGGGCTGGGTATCACGACCATTATGGATCCAGTTTTTATAACACCTCCATCTGTGTCTGAGGTTGTGAAGCAGTACACGCGCGCGCGAGAGAGAGAGGGAGAGAGAGAGAGAACTTGCACGACCGTCGCCATGAGGGCAATCAAACAGTTGTGCGACACGCAGAACACTGACAACTCCAGAGGTTCGAAGAAACCTCGGAGAACGTGCACTTCAGACGAGACTGGCACCAAGTTTACCTGCCAGATTGTTACCCGTTTGATGTGTCACTATGGACAGACTCTTCGGCGAGAGGAAAGATGGAACAGCCAGGAAGTCTATTTTTTGGTGGAAATCAGGGTTGCATACCTGCTGACCGCCGACCCTGACCGTGGACTGTTTTGCAGCCGACCAGCAGGGCTGAGCGACCGGCGGTCGGTTGGGTGGTTTTTTTTTTTTTTTT